TCACCAGAGCCTTTGGAGCTGCTGCCAGTGCTTGCTGTGGTTGCACCGGGACCACCCATGGAAGCACCAGCTATACCGTCACTATCTTCTTGACTGCTACACCTGTCTGCAACACCTTCCGTGGATGTAACAAACCCTGTGTTGTCCCCCTCTGCTGCTGCTGCCGCCATCCATGCTACCATTCATGCTACCATCTATGTCCACCCCCATCCCCCTGCCCACATCCACCCCCGCCCCCACGCCGCTCCCACTACACCCATTACTCACTACAATCAGCCTCTCCAGCCGCCCCAAGCATGCCAGAGACGGCGCCAGCAGCACCGTTCTGCACCCATCCAGCCTCAGCTCCCGCCGCCCCTGCATGTGCGCCAGGTTCCCCGGCGCCAACTGTAACACGGTACACCTGGTTACCACTAGCTGCTCTAGTTCAGGGCAGTCAGCGACGCGGGGAGGGCGCGTAGGGACGCAGCCTATGAGAATGAGTGCGCGGAGGGGGGGGGGAGGTGCGAGGGGGGAGGGGGAAGGTGCGGACATGACGAGAATTGGTCATAAGAGTGAGATGGTTGAGTCTGTCGGTGAGAGCGGTTGGGAGCGGTGCTGAACTGGCTGCTGCTGCTGCTGCATCAAGCCCAACTATCTGACCCTGTTCTTGATTCTGCTGCCCCTGTTGTCCCTGCTGCCCCTGCTTTTGCTCCTGCTGCTGCCCCTCCTGCTGCTTTTCCTCTACCTGCCCAGCAACCCTTCCCTTCCCAATAAATCCTGATCCCGCGTGTATAGCCTAACTATAGCGAGGATGGAAGCAGCGCCGCGCTGTCCGCCGCCAGCTGCCGCAGCGTGGAAGACACGTGGGACGTTGGGGGAAGCAGCTGCAGCGAGGAGCGGCGAGCGTGGCGGCAAGCACGAAAGGAAGTACGAACAGATGAGGGAGTGGATGGGGAGGAGTTGGGAGCTGTGAGGGGTGACAAGGATTGGTCTGAAGAGGCGGAGGAGGGCGTATTGCTGGTGGACGAAGGGCATGTCGTGCCTTCAGAGTCAGACGGTGGCGAGCACGGCAGACACGGAGATTGGGGGAGGCCGCGAAGCTGTGTGGAAGCATCTGTCCGCCAAGCCAGCAAGGCGGCCGTTGGCACTCTGCAGCGCAGGCTTTCGGCGCACAGGCGGGCAGGAGAGGCGACGGCAGTTATGGCAGCACTGGCAGTGGCAGCAACAGCAGCAGCAGAGAGGGTGAGCGACCCGTGCTGCTGCGCTGCGAGGGCTTGCGGGGGAGCAACCGCGTGCGCGCGTTCGACCCCAGCGAGTACAAGACGACAGCAATAGCCGTCGCCGCAGCAGCTGCAACAGGAACAAATGCAGCCAAAGCTGTGCCTAAGAGGAAGAGGAAGAGGAAGAGGAAGAGTTGTTGGCAGTGACTGGGGAGAGGGGAGTGAGGGATGTGAGAGTGAGGGAGGGCGAGTGGGAGGAGGGGGGTGCTTGGATGGTGAAGATGCCCGGAAGAGGGGAGTCAAGGAGGCTGGAGGAGCTCTGTGAGAACGATTGGATTGGGAGTGGGGATGGGGTTGGATGGGGTGGAGATGTGTTTGGAGCTGGATAGAGGGGTGGTGAGCATTGGGCCTAGTGTGGGGGGTAGAGGAGGGATGGGAAGGAGCTTGAGCATGGGAATTGGGTTGCTGGGGTTGGTTCCAGATGCGATGCCGGATGCGAGTGGGAGAGAGAGGATGGGGGTGATGCAGGGAGCGAGGGAGGGTGCAGTCACATCACCAGCACCTGTACCTCCTCCCATGCGATGATCCCGCACAGACACAAGGCAGGAGAGGCGGGCGAGGGAGCAGCAAGAGCAAAGGGAGGAGAGGGGTGCGTGCGTGAAACAAGATTTGGGATTGGAAGCAGCGGCGGCGCCACCCATGCAACGATCCCGCACTGACACGCGGAGAGGCGGGCACGAGAGCAGCAGGAGCAGAGGGAGCAGAGGGAGGAGCGGGAGGAGAGGGGACTGATGAGTGTATGTGCGAAACATGATGCGGGATTGGTTTCCCTGCCACCTCCCATGCGACGCTCACGGACTGACACGAGGCAGGAGAGGGGGATGAGGGCACGACAGCAGGCGGTGACGCCAGCAATGAGGGAGGGCGGCAGGAGAAGTGAGGGGAGCAGCGGAGAGAACGCAGGAAGTGCGGGTGTTGCGGCGAGGCAAGACTCAGCCAAGCAAGCACATGGATCGGGACGGGGTGCCCCGGCGCAGAGAGGGGGACCTGCTGATTCGCACGCATGCGCTGTGAGTAGTACAGGGCTGGTTGTGAACGTGTCTTGCCATTAGGAGCAGGAGCTGTGTGCTCTGCTGTTGTGTGCTCTACTGCTGTGTGCTCTGCTGCTGTGTGCTCTGCTGCTGTGTGCTCTGCTGCTGTGTGCTCTGCGGCTGTGTGCTCTGCTGCTGTGTGCTCTGCTGCTGTGTGCTCTGTTGCTGCTGTGTTTCATCCCGTCCCTGCCCTGCTCCCACTCTTCCCCTTCCCTTGTGCGGCTGCTTCGTCTATTCACAGAGGGCACGACACAGAGATTCTGGTGCTGGACAACTGAAAGTTGCGGGCATGACAACATGGCATGACGCTGACAAAAGCGATGGTGGTTTTTGAGACGTCTCAAAGGACAACTGATAGTGGCGGGCATGATGACATGACATGACAATGACAACCGATAAGGATGACAACAGCGATGGTGGCGTGGCAACACTGTCATTGTGGGCTGCTTGTGGGGCAAACCTCTTGCTACACGGCTTGGAAAACATTTCATTCCAGACTTATGCGGCTCCCCGCTCTGCTCACTCACGTTTCCTGCAATCTATGCCAGGTTGGTTCTGTCCATCCACCATCATGAATGGCAGCCTCGTGGGTAGCCAACGAGTATGCACATCGATGTAATGCCTGTGCCAATGGCTTTCAGTGTAGTATGCCTCCCATGTACAACACAAAGCTTGGTTGACTCTCATCTCATGCCATTCTTGCTTCCAGATCCCAGATTCATGGAAATGTGTCTCCTACCTCACAACTGATACAATATCAGGCCAACCATTCATACTGGTGCATGATGAGTAGCCACCATATCCTTTTTTATCAGTGTACCACCTACCTATACCCGAATTCTAGTTCCTCCATGCTTAGCAGCCAACATGCAGTCATTATGGGCAAACTCAATGCCCATTGGATGGCTTCAATTGCAGCCAGCTCTTGAGGCTATCACTCATCAAGAAAGTACCCGTGAATGAGACCACACCAGACTGTGAGCCATGAGACCTCTCAGGCTCCCTCCCTCCATCTCCAGACGACTCTAAAGGCATCCCTTGGTTGCTTGCCCCTTGTTTCACATCATTCTCCCACTCATCCTCCTCGTCGGGGCAGTGCTTGGCAATGAGGGCGCTGAGGCGGTATGCCACATCCTTCATGGTGGGTCGCCGTGTGCCGGGAGACTTGATGCAGTCCAGAGCCAGGTCTGCAAAGTCCACTATGGCCTCCTCACTTAGTGGCGGCATCTTGCTGTCCTTGAGCTCATCCACCTCATACGCCTCCACCAGCTTCATAGCCTGGAGGGCAACGTAAACGTAACACGAATGGACTATGAATGGTGAGGCAATGCAAAGCAGCAAGCGAAGCAGCAAGGGAGGTGGAAGGCAGCATGACAACAAGGAAAGGCAGTTCAAGCCAGCATGACAACAAGGAAAGGCAGTAAAAGCCAGCATGGTGACAAGGAAAGGGGGTGAAAGCCCAGCATGAAAGGGACTCCAGGATAAATGAGCGGCCATAAATTAATGAAGTCAAAGATGGAATTCTTAGCTTATCAGCATACCCATCCTCTGACTAGCAACTTTTCAACTCTTGAGCCAAAACAGAAAGAGGTTTCATACTTGAAATCCATACCCATTTCCTTATGTGCGTTTTTGAGTCGACTTGGGGTGACTTTCCACTCAGAAGCTGAAGAAGCACGATTCCAAAGCTGCAAACAATCATCGATTTGGAAAGACTCACAAAGAAATGGACACATGTAGAGATAGCAATACAAGGTACGAGAACTCAACATAGCCAGGGGGGTAGAAAAAAAGGTGCAAATTTTTATTGTGCCGTACAAAGGGAACAGCATGCAGAGATAGCAATACAGCGCATAACCTGAACAGAGTAGCACAATTCCATTGTGCAAAGGAACAAGCATGCGCACCTGAACACATCACTCTTGACAGTGATGACGTGGCCCGGAGTGCCGGCCACTTGGGTCAACACTCGGAAAGAGGTCGCAATACACAATACCAGTATTTACCATAACCTGTAAGGTTGAAAAAAGCAGTGGTGCACAAGCTCACCTGAACACATCACTCTTGACAGTGATGATGCGGGTGCGGACGTAATCCGGATCCACATAGCCCAGAGTGCCGGCCACTCGTGTGGCATCAGCATCGCCGTGAGTGAGGCGCTTGAGCAGCCCAAAGTCAGCCACCTTGGCTTGCATGCCGGCAGTCACAAGGATGTTGGCCAGCTTGATGTCGCGGTGAACGATGGGTGTCTCAAACCCGTGCAGGTATGCCAACCCCTCTGCTGCTCCCTGAGCCAGGCGCAACCTCTGGCGCAGGGAGAGAGGATCTGGGTCATGGAACATGTAGACGGAGCAGAAAGCGTGAGTTTATGAATGATGGTGCTTGGGCCAAAATTTTAAATGCATCGCAACCATTGAGCCATTGTGCCAGTGCAACTCACTCTTACTCGCATGGATGTGGTACTCGAGGTCCCTGTTGGCCATAAACTCGTACACGAGGATCTGCTCCTGCTTGCCCGTCTCCACGTTCTGGTCCAGGCAGAAGCCCAGCAGGCGCACGAGGTGTGTGTGGTGGAGAGAGGCCATGGCTCGCACCTGCAGTGAGAGCACACCATAGGCAGATGGAAAGTTGAGCAATTAATGACCGAGTCTGCAGGTGATTAGAACTTAACACATACCGTTTCTTCCGCATGGTACATGGTCCTTACCTCCGTTTCAAAGTCGTTGGTCATGATGGTGGATCGCTTAATGGCCCACAGCTGGCCCTGTGGCGAGCGGCCTTTGTAGACAACGCCAAAGCCTCCCTTGCCCAGCACATTGTCCTCCGACCAGTTGTTGGTGGCACTCAGCATCTGCTGCAGCGTGAATTGCTCACACACATCTAACCCCTCCCACTTCTCTGTGCACACACAATACGCCATACCAGAGGTGTGAGCGACCAAGGGTATATTTGCATGGACAGATCACGACGGCAGTGGAGGTGCAGAAGTAGTAGTGCAGGAGATATAGAGCCAGAAAAGAGGTGCAGAATTGGGGAAGACGGAATGTGACTGAAGAAGGGACGAGGGGCTCACTTTGTCCGCGGGGCCACATTAGTTATGCGACAATAGTGGCCAGGAGTGTAAAGCCAGCAAAGCCTCCCAGAACAATGCCTACTATGGCGCCGGTGGAGAGAGAGGAAACTGCCAAGGAAGAGCAGGTTCACAGAAAGGGGGCGGTGGTTAGGGCTCCCAGGCGAGCAAAAGAATGACAATGCATGGATAACAAAGGCCTCTTGACATGGATAGCAAGAATGCGGCAGAGGTGTAAGAATGAGGCAGTATTGTAAGAGTGAAACTAGGGTTACCAGTGGTGGTGTTGGAGTAAACAATGGCGCATGAGGAGCCGTTGCCCGAGTCGACAGCCGTGTAGCCGGCATGACAGAGGCAGGCGAATTTGGAAGGGGAGGCGGGGTCGGGCTGCACACACTCCCCATGGCCGTCACACGGGCCGTTGTCACTCATGCTGCAGATCTCCTGGCAGGCTGCTGTGCTGCGCTGGGTGGCATTGGATGAGCACTCCGTGTATGGGCTGAGGTTCAGGCAGTTGCCCGACAGACTGACCTTCGCCTTCTTTCCTGCCCCTGCCACAGCAGAGTAGCACTTGCCACCAATACTCCAGCTATATGTGTAAAAAATGTCCAGTTTGTTGGGCTCGCTGACCTCCGTGGGGCAGACCTTGCAGCCACCAGCAAAGAGCACGGCTTCGCCAAAGAAGAAGTTGTTAGCCAAGTTGATGAGGGCACCACTATCCGCCACCATGTTCTTGAAGTTGCGATTGATTCGCCCATACAGGCTGTTGCCGCTAACATCACTGTGGGAAGCACGGGGGTCATACAGAGGGCAGGAAAAAAATGATGCCGAAAGGTTCGGTCGAAGGAAGTCCCACCATATATTCTGAGGGCGTTTTTTGAGTCGACTAGGTGACTTTAGAGTCGACTCAAAAGTCATCAGGTTCGGTCGAAGGTAGTCCCACCATATATTCTGAGGGCGTTACATCCATGAGTGAGGATGCGAGTTAATGCATGCAATGTACTCAGAATGACTTTATGTGGTTGGCTCACATTTGGTTGATGCACTTGTCAAAGAGGCAGTCTGGCAGGGGTCCGTAGAGATAGTTGTTGCTGATCATGCTGCCAGCAGCACAACACACACCGTGACACACCGAGAGTCACACACCCATACTTCATGGCAAACACATTGAAGAAGGCTTGATCCCACGCTTCGATAAATTCGAACATGATGAATACAGTCAGCACACATACTAACTACTCACAAGCGCCACAGCCAGGGCAGCAAGCACAGGCTAGACGACAGAGGGCCTTCAATTTTGTTGTTGTCTAACCAGCTGCAGGGGCAGGCAGAGCAGTGGCAGGAGGCAGGAAAGTGGCACAAAATATATGTATATATATATCACGTTCACAGTGAGGAAGTTCGCTACACTTGTGCTGCTTGTATCACTTTTACGCTGCCAACGATCTTGAGAAGTGTAGAGGAGGAAGGCAGACAGGACCCTCACATTTGTTCGAGATTCTCCAATCGGCTTATGGCATCTGGCAGAGTGCCACTCAGATCGTTGTTGGCCATGTAGCTGATGGGCAATGGCAGGGAGAGCATAAGACAGTGCAATGTAGTTGAGTGGCAATGGCAGGGAAACACTGCAATAAGGAGTGCATGCAAGAGCAGTGCGGGCTGATGCAGGAAAGCACCATGGGACAGAGGTGAGGCTTACAGGTATTTCAGATTTGTCATGGTGAAGATGGCAGAGGGGATGGTGCCAGTTAGCTGGTTGTTGTTGATCAAACTGCAGGGCATGGCAAGGGATACATAAAAATAAAAGCACATTAACGTTGTACGGCTTAAATCAGATGGGGAAAATATCATATTCAAGTCATGGCATGCGTTTGGGCCCATTGCGGCACAAGAGGAGAAGAGAAGGCTCACATGCCCTCGAGGGTGGTGAGGGTAGAGATGGAGTCGGGAATCGACCCTGTGAAGTTGTTGCCGCTGAGATTTCCGAGCCACAAGCGAAACAGCAACGAGATCAATGCGAGTGAGGCGAACAGAACTGCAAAACATGGGTGCAATGGTATACATGCGAATGGACGGCACAAACCCTATGGTGCTAAAAAAACGATTGAGCAAGCGATGTTGAGGGTGGGAAAGACAAGGAGGAAGAAGGCGTGGAAAAGGCTTACATCAGTCCACAGTTGATGTTCCAGTGTGAGAAGTCTGGTAAGGATCCCGTGAAGTCATTTCCTCCCTGGCTACTGCACATTGAAAGAGGAGCAAATGAAGATTGCACGGCCTTGGAAGCTAAGGATGAAGGGAAAGCCTGGCACCAGGCACATACAGTGGTGGCATCACACACAGTGGTGGCAGCTAGACATGGGTAAATGACAAGTCAAGTCAAGTTTTACTCGACTTCTGACAAGTTTTTGTGGGCCACCGAGTCGAGTGGAGTAACACACGTCGAGTTTGTCTTTACGAAACTCGTAACTAGACCGCATGGTCAAGCTTTCTAGAACTCGTAAGATGTTTGGAAAAAAAAAAGGAGCGAGTTGAGAAAAATTGGACCTGACACATCCTGCCCGCCACCCTTAATAGTGCCAGATCCAAGGCGAAATGGCAGACCCGCGTGGATTTAGCAGCAAAACCGTAGACAGTACAAAACAAAATACAGCAACTTCGCTGATCTGAAAAAAACATATATCAAAAGTTCTGTTTCGTAACCCCCAAATTGAGTCGACTCGTTTGCACATGTATAGTGGCAGCACACAAAGTGGTGGCAACGCACCCAATGGTGGCAGCACACAGTGGTTGCAAGTCTTACAGCCTGGTAAGCGAAGTTGTGACACTGAGAGTCCGTGGGAGTTCCCCAGAAAAGAAATTGTTAGATACGTCCCTGTATTGGGATGGAGGGCAATAGGAAAGAAGGCTGGATGCAGCTCTTACATGCATGCATTGTGGTGGGCCAATAAGGGAGAAACAACGCACTTGGGGTGGAAGGTTGAAGGTTTGGGACATGGAGGAATGTGGATTTCTCCATTTTAGCATTTGCCAGCTTAGCAAAGAAATTGCAAAGTACCATCTGACGTCACCTTTTTGCAATCACTTCTGCATGAATACGAAATATTGAAGAAACTTATTTTCTGAAACAGGTGTAATGGAGGTACTTACAGCAACTCCAACATGGGTAGTCTAAACAGGCCGGCTGGGATAGTTCCATGGAAATTGTTGTCTCAGAGATCTCTGCGCAATGGTATCAAGAGCCTCAAAGTTACGTCAATATTATAAGTTCGAGGACAGTATATTTGCCGACTCGTTTAGCAAAAAGTAACTTTGCGAGGCTAGGCGAGTATTGGCAAGCGAGTAAAAACAGCAAATTGCCAGACTCGGTAGTCGCCCAAAATGAGTAAACAGAAACGAGCCGAGCTTTTTGCTCGCCTCCTTGCCCATGTCTACCCGAGTCATTGCCCTACTTGGCGATTCTTCTCGTTTTCTTCATGTCCTACCTGTGCAACGAGACGAGTTACTCGCTCGATATCGCCCGAGTTACTCGTTTGGGTGCGAGTAACGAGTTTCGGTTTTTGTAAATTTTACTTGTACGAGTCGAGCCGAGTTTAACTCGCGGAGTTTTTTTTGCTCGACGAGTACTCGGGCACTATTTCGTCCGCCGACCCGCGCAGATCGGCGATTTCGCCCGTCGATCCGCGCAAAACGGCGATTTCGTCCGTCGATCCGCGCAGATCGGCGATTTCGCCCGCCGATACGCGCGGATCGGCGATTTCGCCCGCCGATCCGCGCAGATTGGCGATTTCGCTGCGCAGAGCGGCGATGTCCGCCACATGTCGTGTCAATCGCTAAGCTCAGATAAGATCTTGCTTTGGTCGAGCACAACTACTGTAATTCGGCGGGCAAAATATTGCTTCCCCTACTACTCATCGGAAAAATGTGAAACTGCCGAGTATTGGGGGGGGGTGGGGAGGGGTCCTTTTTTGAGTTGGGAGGCCGGTCGTTTTCGATGATTGATGAGGTGAAATTCGCCCTACCCTGCTTCCCAACAGTTTACCATCGGATGTGCTGGGTTTATACCTGCAGATTGTCGAAAGCCTTTCTACTCGTTTTCTCCCCACCCCCCTCGATCACCATTTACCTCAAGTAACAGACGCGCACTGTACAGGTGGACCACAAACCATGGTTTACGTGGCGTTTCTGCTTGGGCGCTTACGAGCGTTTTCATTGGTCTACTATTTTCAGACACAAACGGGAATACATCGCGAGATGTGTGGAGTGCTTGCCAACCAACACTTCGCACCCTGATTCACCTTCGTGTGGAGATGTAGGAAGATTCTGGCCACGTCATATCAGTTTCGGCGAGGGTTGAAGTGAAAGAATAGTAACATGTTACACACCACATTTTGAGAATTGTGTCTGTTATGTTCTTTTAATTTAATGGACCTTAATGTGTGTGAGTGGCTAGGTATTATAAATTGGTGACGTGGGGATCAACTCCAGCCCTTGAATTAGCCGTATGTACTTAGGGCTCTAAACCAACCGATACGGTATTAGGCCTCAGCAGCAAATGTTGTCGGTCCATTGTCGCGTACCACTGACGGTTAAAATGTAACATAGTGACTCTACTGAAAGCATTTAATATATTTCATAAGACAGAAACATCGTATTCATGTTGTTTAGAGCACTCTACGCAGCACGTGGCGCATGTTCGTGCGTTTGCTGGCCTGAAACTGTGCAAGGATATGCCTGTGCGCAACATGTCACTGCGCCAACGTCTTGATGCCTTTTTTACCACTATTTTTTCCCACAGTTCTCTACTACATCCTATTACCTAGCCATAGGAACTGGTTTGACCTCGTTAGCACAATTACGCAGCACATGGCGCATGTTTGTGCGTTTGCTGGCCTGAAAATGTGCAAGGATAGGCCTGTGCGCAACATGTCACTGCGCCAACGTCTTGATGCCTTTTTTACCGCTATTTCTTCACACTGTTCTCTACCACATCCTATTACCTAGCCATAGGAACTAGTTTGACCTCGTTAGCACAACTACGCAGCACGTGGCGCATGTTCGTGCGTGTGATCGCCTGAAACTGCGCAAGGATAGGCCTGTGCGCAACATGTCACTGCGCCAACGTCTTGATGCCTTTTTTACCACTATTTCTTCACACTGTTCTCTACCACATCCTATTACCTAGCCGTAGGAACTCGTTTGACCTCGTTCGCACAACTACGCAGCACGTGGCGCATGTTCGTGCGTTTGCTAGCCTGAATCTGCGCAAGGATAGGCATGTGCGCAACATGTCACTGCGCCAACGTCCGGATGCCCTTTTTACCAATATTTCTTCACACAGTTCTCTACTACATCCTATTACCTAGCCATAGGAACTAGTTTGACCTCATTCGCACAACTACGCAGCACGTGGCGCTTGTTTGTGCATTTGCTTGCCTGAAACTGTGCAAGGATGAGCCTGTGCGCAACATGTCACTGCGCCAATGTCTAAATGCATCTTTTACCACTATTTCTTCACACAGTTCTCTACTACATTCCATTCTCTAGCGATAGGAACTGGTTTCACCTCGTTCGCACAACTACGCAGCACGTGGCGCTTGTTTGTGCGTTTGCTGGCCTGAATTTGTGCAAGGATAGGCCTGTGCGCAACATGTCACTGCGCCAACATCTAAATGCCTTTTTTACCACTATTTCTTCACACAGTTCTCTACGACATCCTATTCCCTAGCCATAGGAACTGGTTTCACCTCGTTCGCACAACTACGCAGCACGTGGCGCTTGTTTGTGCGTTTGCTGGCCTGAAACTGTGCTAGGTTAGGCCTGTGCGCAACATGTCACTGTTTCAACGTATGGGTATTGTTTTTACCTCCATTTCTTCACACAGTTCCCTAGTACATCCAATTCCCTAGCGATAGGAACTGGTTTGACCTCGTTAGCACAACTACGCAGCTCCTGACGCTTGTTTGTGCGTTTGCTGACCTGAAACTGTGCAAGGATAGGCATGTGCGAAACATTGTCAGAACATATATATAGCTTATGCTGTTGTGTAGGCTATAGTGGGGTATCCCATAGGGGGTACAACCCAATTAGGGTTTCCCATATGTACTCACTTCATTCATAGTTCATCCTTCCTCGTTCTACTTTTCTCATGGTATCGAGCAGGTTCCCTCGTGGGAACTGTTCTTAGGGCCCACCGTTTTTTTTTTCCTGCCCGGAGCGCACTCTGCCCCTACCCGAGTCGCGCTCCCCTCTCTCTTGGCCCCTAGTGGCCCCTTTAGCCGCCCGTCCCGGCCCCTTAGACGCCCGCGTACCGCCCGTCCCGGCCCCTAGACGCCAGTGCGCCGCCCGGCCCGGCCCCTAGACGCCCGCGCGCCGCCCGTCCCGGCCCCTAGACGCCCGCGCGCCGCCCGTCCCGGCCCCTAGACGCCCGCGCGCCGCCAGTCCCGGCCCCTCGACGCCCGCGCGCCGCCCGTCCCGGCCCCTCGACGCCCGCGCGCCGCCCGTCCCGGCCCCTCGCCGCCCGTGAGCCGCCCGTCCCGGCCCCTAGACGCCCGCGCGCCGCCCGTCCCGGCCCCTAGACGCCCGCGCGCCGCCCGTCCCGGCCCCTCGACGCCCACGCGCCGCCCGTCCCGGCCCCTAGACGCCCGCGCGCCACCCGGACCGACCCCTAGACGCCCGCGCGCCGCCCGTCCCGGCCCCTCGACGCCCGCGCGCCGCCCGTCCCGGCCCCTCGACGCCCGCGCGCCGCCCGTCCCGGCCCCACGCCGCCCTACCTGCGGCCTACTCGCCGCCCTACCTACGGCTCGCCCGCCGCCCTAACTGCGGCCTGCCCGCCGCCCTACTTGCGGCCCTACCGCCCCCCTACCTGCGGCCCAACCGCCGCCCTACCTGCGGGAGCCGCCTAGCAGCTGAACCGCCGGAAGCCGAGCCGCCCTGCCGCCGAGCCGCCCGGGAGCCGAGCCGCCCTGCCGCCGAGTCGCCCGGGAGCCGAGCCGCCCTGCCGCCGAGCCGCCCGGGAGCCGAGCCGCCCTGCCGCCGAGCCGCCCGGGCGCCGAGCCGCACTGCCGCCGAGCCGCTGAGCAGCCGAGCCGCCCTACTGCCGGGCCGCCCGACCTGCCCTGTCCGGTGAGCACAGCCCCACTGTCACTGCGTGCCCTTCCCCTACTGCTTGCACTGCTCGTCTGTCGTCGTCATGGCTACCCCTAGCGTCCTCGCTTTTGACGCTGAGGGTCGAGCCATTGACTTTGAGGTCTGGGTCGACGACCTGCAGCTGTTCTTACAGTGCGATAGGGCGGACGGTCTTTCCCTCTTTGACCTCACCTCTGGCGCCTCTCCTGCCCCTGCTACTGATGCTGACCCCACTGTTCGCTCTCAGTGGGCCACCCGCGATGCTGCTGCACGTCTTGCTGTGCGTCGCCACCTGCCTACCACTGAGCGCGCGCACTTTAGTCAGTACAAGAGTGCTCAGACCTTGTACGACGCTGTAGTTGCGCGCAACTCTTCCCCTGCCACTGCTGCCCTGAGCCGCCTCATGCTACCGTACCTCTTTCCTGACCTTGCTGCCTTTCCCACTGTCGCTGACCTCATTACGCACCTCCGCACTAGTGACACTCGCTACCGCGCCGCCCTTCCTGCTGAGTTCTGCGCCAAGAACCCCCCCCCCATGTACATCACTCTCTATTACATCGTCACACGCCTCCCTGACTCCCTTCGCGTAGTCAGGGACCACTACCTCTCGGTCTGTCCCACCACTCTCACTGTCGACCTCCTCGAGAAGTCCCTCCTGGCGGCGGAGAAGAGCATCGTCGCTGTAGGAGCCTCTCGTGGTGACCCTCGCACCCCCATCTTTGAGGGGTGTTCTCCTTCCCCCCTGCT